AATCTGAAATGAAATTTGTCTGAGAACCTTCTCTGAGCGATTAACTTTTATCATAATGCTTATGTATATGTGTATGCTTTAGTGTTCTCTTTTTGAACTTAAGTAACTAAAGGAAATAGGGATATGTCCTTAATTTTAATTAATTCAAATTCTAATAATACATAATATGTTTATGTAACGTATAATTAAATTCAACCTATATGACATACACTTAGAATTAATCCTATGTCAGGAAGCATTAATTTCATGTTAGATATAATTAATATATAACATGAGCTTGCTAGTAGTTCATATAAAAATTTAAATTCCTTAAAAATGTAAACTTTGCTACATTTACAGGTCACATGTAAAATATATAATGTGTCCAAGTACAAGAAATATTAATATATGATGTTGAATGAAAATTTATCTTTCAGAAGCTTAAAACAGGCTGAATCTAGTTTATACCACTAGTGACTATCTCAAGCCTTGCCCAGTATTATCTGAGTGGACTTTCTCCTCGTACTCAGAATTGGTTTCAGAGTTTTATTAAAATTAATTAATTATAATAATTACATTTGGAGTAATTAGTTCCTATTTACAAATATATTCATGCCTTACACTGTAAATATCACTGATACTCAAAGTGAACAATTTTGGCATTTCTGATACCATGTTTCAACTATTCAAATGATTAAGCATTTTTTAATTCATAATTTTGTTAATATGCAATTTTAGTGAATTTTGAAAACAAGACTATGAAGATACTTTTCATTAAAACAGTTGCTATAGATACTTATTTTTATACATTGAAGAGTCCAGAGATCAAAGTATAATATATATTCATGCTTACAAAGACAGATATATAGCTTTTAGGAAAAGTAAAATACAATCCATCCAAATAATAGAAAAATTCAGTTTTTATGTGATGAAATTAAAATATTAGTAAAACTTTCAAAAGTTTAACTGTATGGAAAGTTAAACCATGTCCATAACATGTCATGTTTCTGAAACTTAGTATCAGCTAGTAAATTTAAAATCCTGGAAGAGTTAACACAGTTTTAAATATATAATAACATTTTTTGAAAATAGAATTTCCATGTAGCCCTGTTTTCTTCCATTGTAAGGACCCACTCTTTCTCTCATTCATGTGGCATTGAGACTGAGTATTTTTCCTTCCACTAAAGCATTCTATCAGAGAGAGCAAACTATCAGAGAGAAATAAGTTGAAACTTATTTCTAAGGGTTTGAGACTTTCGAGCTTGTCTTCCTGTACTTGTGTTGAATTCATCAAAAAAGTTCAGATCCAAGACAATTCTATTTTTGATCCAGTGAGCTTTTTCCACAAAACTATAATGGGAGAGGAGACCTGTTAACTCTTTTATGGAATGTAAAAGAGTAGTTGACTGCCTTTCATTTTCCCACAGCAAAAACCCCAGAAAAGTAGCGTCTTTCCTTCTAGTGTGTGACTCAGATGATACACAGTTTATAGGCTTTTCATACATCTGAGTGAGACTACAATACACTGATCTTAAAGACATTACATTTGTTTAAGCGTACAAATAGACAGGAGAGTCTGCACAAATCAATTCTGCTATTATTGTATTTTTGCTTTTCTGAAATATGTGATTTCTTTAGGAATATACTCCATCGTTTTCCTATGCAATCATTTTGAGACCAAAAATAATTCATTTTGTTTTGGATTAAATTACTTGTCTTACACCTCGTCCTTGTTCATACATTCCTGTTGTTGTCATAAGACATCCCTGGGTTCAAGTAGTCAAATTACACTTTGAGACTGTTAAAATTGGAGGAGGAACATTTAGTTTGATTTCAGTGCTTCTAAGATTCTAAGCAATGGGAGACAGTTGCAATACCCTAAGCAGAGGACAGGATCCGTAAGGGTGTGGAAGATGGGACTTTGTGACACATTCTTATTGCTATATGGGGAAGCATGCCCAGAATCTGCCCTCATTATGTCTGGCACTTGCCAGTTCTTTTCAAACCTCAGTTTCACGAGCACCATAAAAATTCACTTAAAATTGAAAAGAACACCCCGAAGTTAAAATCCACCTTGCCTTTCATGGCCTGGAATGTCACCTTTTACCTCTAGTAAATAAAACCAATATCAACACTCTTCCATGCCTTTTATTTTTTATGCACTCAATATTCTTCACATGACAATCTGGACACTTAAAGGGAAATTACAGGAGTGATCTACGTCCCTGCAAGGAGAATTGTCTTTATAATATATAGTTACAGTGTATCCATCATTTTCTTTTGTTCCTTAGACTGTTCACATTGGATTGAGTAAATCTAAAATGGAATTAAAAGAGACATGATTAATAGTGGACTGCAAAGAAACCATGATATCATAATGCTTTCTTAAAAGGGTCTGGCATGTGTGTCCACGCAGCATTCCCCAACAGACAATTGTGCAGTTTTACTGTCTTGCCGTGTATTGTCTTTTTAACCTCACTATTTCCGAACGCTACTGAAATGTCCCAATATGTCACAATTCAAATGTCAGCATGTTGTTGGAAAGGAAACTAATAAGTTCAACCTGTAGGAGATGCCAGAAAAAGAGGTGATTCAAGCTGTTGAGAGAAGCCTATTGTTTTCTAAGGGGAACTAGAACTCTAGAATGAATCCAGGATCTAACTAGAAGGTTTAGGGGGAAAGGCACACTCATGCATTATTATTATTATTATTATTTGAATCTGATAACTTTTAAAGCAGAACTCTTCTTTATGTGCATTTCTAAAGACAGGAGAATGCGGTGGGTAGGCGTTAGATACAAGCAGCAAATTTAATTTTTATGCTTTCATTTAAAAAATAACGCATAGGAAAGAGTGTTTTTGTAGTAGTCTGGAGTTAACCTTTGGACAAATAGAAGGATCTTAGATGATGTTATAACACTATGTAGCAATACTTTTGTTTGACATTATTTTCTATAAAGGAACTTCAGGTAGTTAAACTACTGTTGAAGAGAAAAACTTCATTTTGAAAAGAAAGAAACGAAGCAGAAAATACTGCACATTGAAATTGAAGGGTTTTTTTTTCATATTTAGCACAATTTTGTGCTCTGATCTTTTTTATGGAAAAAAATAAACAATTGGCCTTTGGAGCCACCTACTGGAATAAAGAGACTTATGTCCAAGGTCCTCAGTTTTGAAAAAGCTAAAGTAGATGATTGCAAGGAGCTGGGTAATCATTTCTGTTGATCGCATAAGGAAATTTACACAGCTTTTCTCAGTTGGGAATCATCAGGTGGTCCTGGTCAGCAGGTAGAGAGCAAATCTGAGGCCTGTCTCAAATGAACAAACAAACAAAACCCAGCAGTATCTTCTAAAAAGATATTCTTCTTACTTTTGTGGTTACAGTTGTGTTTTGTACCTTTTGTCAGTTTTTGGTTAATTTTGTGTGTGTGTGTGTGTGTGTGTGTGTGTTCATACATGTGCTCAGGTGTTCAGAATATGTCTTTTGGGGAAGGGTGGTGGTGAAATCTTGTTAATGGATAACTTCATAAGAGGACTGGTGCATTGAGACAGATAAAGAAAAAAGAACATTCCTGACTGTTGATGTGAGAAAGATGAAGATGCTAGAGAAATAAATGTTATCTTTCCGAGACCATGGGGCGGTTTTACACAGATACTGTGATGAATGTAACTTTGAGTTTTAAAAAATATTTTAGTTGATTCAAGAATTTCATATAGTTTATTTTGGTCATAGTCAGACCCCCTCCTGCCGCAGCACCTCCACCTCACTACCCCTCCCAACTTCATGCCCTCTATTTTTTTTAATTGTTAGATGCTGGGAGAGGGAGTCAGTTTTCCTTATTGGTATGACACCTGGTAGGTTGACCAGACACCAAAGAACAGACCCACACCCAAGAGCACTTGGGAAAAATAGTTTAGAATCCATGGGCCTTAAAAAAAGAAAAGAAAATTAGTAATTGTTTCAGATTGATTAGTTAAGGACTAGCATCATTCCTTTTTGCCAAACCTCTTAGTCGTAGAATTGTTTAATAATCAATCTTAGAATAAAATGAAAAAATTTAAGAACATTTTTATGGTAAAATAATAAACATCTTAAATATTTTCATGCTCATAATACTTTTATCAGTGAAAAGAAAAGTCTGGATCATGTACTCATAGGTGAGGTGATAGGTTGCCTGTCCTTAGGCACCTGGGAACACTAGGCAGCTCTTAGAGATTTCACATTCTGATTCTCTCCACACTGACCCCACTGCTGTTTAATCCATTAGTCGCAGCTTTATTAAGTCCTTCCTCTTAGCACTTTGCTAGAAAACCAGGCTATAAAGCACCCCACATACCAGTATGATCAAAGAGAAAATAAATGTGAGGCCTAGTGCCTTTTGTTAAAGCCACAATCAGAACTCAGGACACAGGGGCAGGATCTGGGTATGGACACACCCTTCTGATTGGTGAAGGAAGGGTTCAGTGTTTCAAAACCAAGAGATTCTCCTATGATTTCTCTTCCCCAGGGGCCATGCAATTCAATGTACTGTGACTCCCCCAGGCCATTCCCCTTGGAACACCTTGTTTAGGACTCCTCTTGGCTGACTCTCTTAGGGACAGCTCAAGGTTAACTAGGCTGCTGTTGGGTAATCAAGACCTGGTTCAGCTCTATGTGGGTGTGGCCTGCTGGGTGCTTTAAGGAATTCAGAAGGGAAAGTGCTTTGTTAAACATTACATAGACTATAGGCAAGATAGCAACGTTGTATTATAAAAATTCGATTTGTGCTCTAGGTAGGATTTGGAAAATGGTTGTAAACTATTTGAGAGTTTGTTTTGTTTTGTTTTGTTTTGAAACCAGAGGTCCCCCCCTCCTTAGTATATAAAACAGAAACCACCATTTCCTTTGATAAAAATAAAAATAAAAGGGAATATGTTTATTAAAATATGAGAAAATGTACAGCTGTCTCAGTGTATATCCTGCCCTGTGTTAATGTTTACTTCTGTCTGTCTTTCCTGCCACCTGTGCTTTCGTCTTTGAAGATATTCTACCGAGTAGTAGCAGACATTGAGCCTGGAGAAGAGCTCCTGCTGTTCATGAAGAGCGAGGACTATCCCCATGAGACCATGGCGCCTGACCTCCATGGTGAGTACGGCTTGGCTCAATACCATCCTGCCTGGTCATGCTCTCCAAAAACCACACAGCATCCAAAAGAACCCTTCATGCCTGGCATTTCTTCACTAGTTTACTTGACTACAGTGTCACTTTTGACAAATTCATTCTCTTAGAGCAGGTGCTTTCTTGGGTTGACAGTGGGTTCCATTATGGAGAAACTATAGTGAGTTAAGGGCTTCCCTAAAATATAGACAAAGAGAATTTAGAAACTTAAGTAGAAACATCACCTTAAGTTTTCTCAATGCCTTTTGTGGGAATCCTTCTACTTTTTGAGAATCATTCCAAATACCCAGGCTTGGAGCTTTCTTAAGTCTAACAGGTGTCTTTCCCATTTCTTTTCCTATTAGTGGGAATCTGAACCATCATGATCCCGTGGGAGGGGGTAAAGGAGCAGAGCTTGAGAAAAGTAGAGGTGAGGAAATTTTAGAGCTAGTAGAGTTTTTTGTTGCCAGAAACCTCTTCTAAATTGAAGGAAGGGGGATCAAAATGATGGTAACTAGTAGTGATATTTGCTCAGGAAACGTTAATGACTGTGTTTGTGTGCATCTGGTACTGAGACGAAACAGTCGTTTTTCTTTTTCCTTCCTACTCCTCTCTCCTACTATAATGTGATGTGGTTCAACACAATGTGCTGGTGTCCTTAGGACTGGTAGAAAGGACCGGTAGGAAGGTGGCACAGAGTCTAGTACCCCAGAAGGAAAGCCTCAGCACAGTTTGTGTCTGCACCTGTGAAAGAATCTGCTGCTCTTGCTAGCTCCCTTTCAAACATTGTTTCCCTGAGCTGTCCTCTGCACTGCCTTTGTAAGGTATACCAGCTGTATTTAGGGTATCTTTGGGTGTTTTTTTTTTTCTCCTTGGAAACTCTGACATGAAAATGGCTCTAGAAACCTAGACATCCTAGTCAGTTTGGTAGAGTTTGAGTTTAAGGGGGGAATCTGGTCATGGGAAATGGTTCATAGGCAGTACAGGGTGCTTAATGAGGAAAAACTTGCAATCTGGGGGTCTCTTCTAATACAACCCATCATTCATAGGTGATTGAGAGTTCTAGTGTTTTGGGGCAGTTGTTTTATAAAAAAAATTAAGTGATTTATTTTCTACTTTCAAAAAGCCTACATAGAAGTGGTTATTCCATTCTTAAGACTGTACCTTGTACATCACCATCCTCTAAAGTATTCTTGGGGTTAGGAAGATGGCTCACTCAATGAAGGACTTGTGTTACAAATATGAAAGCCCGAGTTTGATCTCCAGAACCTACACAGAAAAAACAAGGTGTGATAATACACACTTGTCATCCCACTGCTTGTGAGGTGGAGCCGGGGGGATCCTTGGAACCTTGGGCTAGCCAGCCTATCTGACCTAGCGAATTCCAGGCCAGTGAGAGACCCTGTCTCAAAAAGAGAGGCTAGATAGCACCCAAGGGATGACAACCCAGACCATTCTCTGCTTTCCACATGTACACACAAGTGCACAGACATTTGCACACACACTTTCATCCATACACTTATTCACACATACACATAAACACATGCATAAACCATTAGTTGCTTGGTCTTTTAACACATCATATCCATATTCATACTCATACCATATACTGATGTGTAAGCTTTACAATTTTTATTATATAAGGTTTTATATACCTTATATTATAATGTTTAAGTGGTATTTGTATTTCATGTTTTTAATATTTTATTATTTATTTTATGTGTATGAGTGTATTACCTGCTTGTATGTAAGTGCATCCATGTCATGCAATGCCTGCAAAGGTCAGAGAAGGTGTCGGATCCCCTGGAATTGGAATAACAAATGGTTGTTCGCTGCCATGTGGGTGATGGGAACTGAACCCAGGTCCTCTGCAAGAGCAACCAGTGCTCTAAAGCATTGAATTGTCTCTCCCACACCATGTATTTTTATACTTTTAGGAACGAGATAATTAGAACATAGGCATTCCATTTCTTCTGTGTGTCCCATATGATATGCTTTATTTGATCTTTTTTACATAAATAAAAAAACCTATAAGCAAGGAATTATATCCATTTTACACATAGAGAAACTGAGGTAAACAAAGTAGTGACCGATAAGACCACATGGCTAGTATGTAATGGAGTCAGCCCTGAGTGCAGTGTGTCTGCTGTCTAAAATCAAGTCTTTTCAATGTACTTTGTGACCTGAAAGTTCTGTAGTTTGGACTCCTGGATAAGATTAGAAGCAAAGTATGCAGGTGGTGTTAAAAACATTAGGGAACGTTTCCTTAGACTAGTTAATGCTGTTGAGATTTCTGTCTCCTGAGATGATTGATTGCAAAGTTCCTCCATCCTCCTTAACCCTGCATACAAAGTCAACACATCTGATGCCTTTTCCTTTCCTTTTATTGTTACTGGTGTGGTTTGAGCTAAACCAGTGTCTCCAGTGGTTGTGGCAGAGGCTTCCAGTGGGCCTTCCTGCTGGCCCTGTCTCACTGCAGCTGGGGGAAGTTCTAAAAGCCAAACGTAAACATATACCTGCTTCCCAATGTCCAGTGACATTCTCTTCCCTCCTAACATAGACATTAAGTTCCTCTGTCACCTCATTTCCCCCTCTCCTTTCATACCCGCTTTATAGCTGTCACACTCTACTATAGCTTCATCCTTCTGGGATGTACCGTGTCCTTTGAGCCATCGTGCTTGGCCCATGTTATTCCCTCTGGCCTGAAGTGGCTTCCGTTTCTTACCTCACCTGACTGATTCTTATCCATTCTGCAGCCCTTCCAAAACATCTTCCCTGCCAGCTTAACTGGATAAGGCAGGTTCCCAGGGCTTCCTGATGCCTTGTGAATGGATTTGTCATAGACCACATCAGAGTTTTTGTTTGCATGTGTATCCTTTGAGTTGCTTATATATTAATTCTCTGGCAATGGGTCTAGCATTTGTAGGTGACTAAAATATTTTCCCCTAAACATTTAGTCAATGAATAGCTAGAGAATAGCCCTTCCTTGGCTACAGATCTACACAGCAATGTGTGTTGTGGTGTTACTCTGAGTGTTTTTCAGCATCATGGGCTATGCACAATACTTCAGGAGTTGTACCTGTGATTTCTGTGGAGTGTGGCCTCATGGCTATTGAAGAGAAAGAGCAAAAACAATACCATTCATACCTGGCTTTATAATCTTGTTGCCTGCATTCTCCATTGCTAGCATCTGTTCACTTTGCTGACTTAATGTGCAAATATATATCTTTGATATTTAACAAAGCCACATCAATTATCACTGGCCCCGGAGTAACATAAATTAGCCTTGAAGGGTACTAGAAATATCCTGTGCTCCATTCTAAGTGGTGACAGTGATGGGCATAATTATGACTCAGAGAGGGTCTCTGTGTACCCTTGTGCCTTTCAGCCAACATGGCATTTGCTTAGAGAAAAGTAGAGATGAGTTTAAACCCTGACACCACAGCTCGCCTCTCTATTCCCTGGCTGGCTCCTTAGTGTCTTTGAGCATCAGTACATTTATCTAAAATAGGGATAAAAATCAGACTTAGAATTTCTCATACTTAGGTTTTAAAGAATGTCAATAACTCTTGTCATGGCTTGAGAAAATAATGACGTTCAGTAGGTGATAATTATTCCTTCCATTATCCCTGGAACCTAGAAAGGTTTATCCATTAGGGTTTATTTGATCAGAGGTTATACTATAGCCAAAGTAATTATGTTATTTTTAGATTCTTTCTTGGGTTCTTTACATATACTACTTATTATTTCTACTCCAAATTAAAATTGACATGGGGGAATGACAATCAAAAACTTTCAGGGTTGGGAGATGGTTCGGTAGGTGTAATGCTTGAAGCTTAAGCACGAAGACCTGAGTGTGTGGATCCTCAGCACTCACTCAAAGCGAGGCATGGTTGTGTATGTCTGTAACTCAGTGACAAATGGGGGAGGAAACGGCAGAATCCCTGGGGCTTGTTGGCCAGTCAATATAGCCAAAATGGTGAGGTACAGAGATCCTGTTTAACAAACAAGGTGGGCAGCAATAGAGGAAGACCATGACATCAACCTCTTCCCTCCTCATGTGTGTACATGCATGGGTGAATGCACCCACATCCATATGTATGCACACACCACACATACAAACACACACACACACACACACACACCAAATTATCAGTTATATCTCATATAATTCAAAGCTAACTTGTTTATGGTGACAATTCTTGAATACACAGTGCTAGTAACACCTGAACTGTTTCCACAGAAGAGCGACAGTGTCGCTGTGAAGACTGTGACCAGCTCTTTGAATCCAAGGCTGAACTAGCAGACCACCAGAAGTTTCCATGCAGCACGCCTCACTCAGCATTCTCAATGGTGGAAGAGGACTTCCAACAAAACCTTGAGAGTGAGAGTGATCTACGAGAGACACACGGCATCCAGGAGTGTAAGGAGTGTGACCGAGTGTTCCCAGATTTGCAAAGGTTAGCGACGGCATGTTGCACCATGGAAATTGTGTATTTGCTCTGTGATAAAGTGCTGTGCTGCATTTTAAGGAGTGTGCTATTGGGAAACTTGGAGCTTCATTGGACCAGCCAGAGTTGCTACTGACGTATTCAGAAATAATTTTTTTCTTACAAATTCTCATTCCTATTTACAATAAATTTATTGTTACTTATTCATTTATTGATTCTTTCCTTACTTTCTCCTTTGTTCATTCCTTTCTTCCTCCCTCCTGCCCCCTCTCTTTTTTCTCCTTCATTCATTCTTTCCTCCTTTCCCTCCTTCCTTTCTTTATTTTTTCATTTTCTTCCTAACACTAAGGATCAAACCAGAGCCTTAGACATGTTAGGAAAGTGTTCTGTTGTTGAGCTACATCCTCATCCCATAGATACTATTATTAGTTTTTAAAAATATTTTATTTTATGTATATGGGTATATTGCCTGCATGTGTGTAAGTGCACCCATGTCATGCAATGCCTGTGGAGGTCAGAAGAGGGTGCAGATGCCCTGGGGCTGGAATTATGGATGATTGTTAGCTGCCATGTGGGTGCTGGGAACCAAACCGCAGGTTTTCTGCAAGAGCAGCCAGTGCTTTTAAACACTGAGCCATCTCTCTAGCCCATAGATACTATAATTTGAGTTGAGTCAGTGGGAACGAAAGGCTTAACTTTATAGAGAATGATAGCATTGAAAAAAATACAGAGTGATGGGAAAAATTAATTAGTCATATGACAAGAATAGTAAATCTGCCTCTAAAACTATTCAAATGATTAAGAGTACTGGATCTCATATTCAGTTAATGAAAGGTAATTTGATAGAGCAGCATAGCTCATGTGTTTAACTCAAATTACTCATCTGTGTTGCACATCCACAAAGAACAAGAATATATTCAGCTTCCTAGCATAGCATTTTCTAAAAGGAAACACAGGGACTATAAGAATCTCAATGAAATAATTCTTTAATATTTATTTTCAAGAAAGTGAAAATCAGATTTTAGCAGCATATATGCGTTGTACAGCCTTTTAGATTTAATTCAAGAACATTTAAAATTTCCTATGGAAGAAAATAACAACCTTGGAAACCGCCCTTTGAAAATTATGCTATTAATTAAAATGCTACAAAATGTTACTTTTAGTTCAGAGATGCTAATAAGGTTGTTTGTTTGTTTGTTTGTCTGTTTCTACCTAATGGCTTTTGCTTTTAGTCCACAACAGCTTTAATAATTACATCCATTACTTTGATTTTTAAACTGAAATGATTGTTAGAACATGTAGTTAGACTTCCAAGTGGACACATTGTTGTGGGTCTGTGAGATTGCTGGTATATCAAATGGCCTTGCTCAAGAGTGTGGATGGCTGAAAAGTTCTTGATGTGACCCCCCCAGCTCACCATTTCATTTCCTGCCCTCAGTGCCTTCTGTTCCTTTCTCCGCATCTCCTACTGCTTGGCATTTTTTTTTTTTTTCTGGTTAGGTCTGTTTTAGGGAAGAAATTTCATAGAGAAGTCATTCAGTTCAGAAGTCATGGCCTACTAACAGACATCATCTTCTTTGAAGTGACTGAGTCAAATGAATTCCTCTCTAACTTTGAAAAGTCAGGCCTAATTTAGTTATTAAAGAGAAAAAATAGAAATAATGGAGTTTTCCTAGCACCTTTTAAGTTCATCTACATCACTTAATATAAGTCTATAGATAGAATGAGCGGGACTTATCTGTTTAGTAAATGTGAATTTCTAATAAAAGTCACATACCCTATCTCTTAAATATAGTTATACCCCTAAATTATAAAAAAGCAAAATGAATCCAGTAGATACCAATGAATAGGGAGAATATTTACACAAAGAAATACTATGTCTGGGGCCAGAAATTAAATATTTTACTTTGATTTTTCAAAATAAAAATACAGACAGTCTTACTAAGCAAAACATGGTGGACTAAAGAGTAAAATGAAATTCTTCCTTTGAAAAGTCTGTAACAGCCCTTCGTAGGAGGAAGATCTTGAGTCAACTGGAAGATGGAGCTCCAGTCAGCTCCACTTTATGTTGAAAGCAACTGTCAGTTTAGTGGAGCCCGTCAAGCACTCAGTGGACTGCAGCACTGAACTCTCCAAACTTACCGTTTGGTAACCCAGTCCAATGTACCAAGTCACCATGCAGCTGGATGCCACTCCTTTAAGTGGTGTGCTTGGTTAAGACTTGTCTGCTGTAGCCCCATGCCAAACTTACATTCTCTAGACACTGTCCTCTTTGTTGAATGGTCTGTTGTTGAGGATTTTGTCAGCAAATGAGAATTCCTTTCTTGATATGATACATTCTTCTGTTTGCATCTCCTATCTAAAATACTTGAAATTCTTTTATTGCATTCACTTGTGTGTGTGTGTGTGTGTGTGTGTGTGTGTGTGTGTGTGTGTATCTGTGTCTGTCTGTGTGAACGTGTGGACGTTGGAAGTCAGCTTCTAGGAGTCAGTTCTTTTCTTCATGTGGATTCCTGGGATTGAACTCAAGTGTCAACCTTGGCATCAAATACCTTTACCCCCTTAGCCATCTTGCTTGCCCTAAAACCATTGAAAAAGAGTTTAAAAAAATGCAAATGTAAGAGAGAGAGAGAGAGAGAGAGAGAGAGAGAGAGAGAGAGAGAGAACTGAAAAGAATATAGACAGCTAATCAAATCTTCTGATGACTGACTGGATTGTTTCTGTGGTTATGAAAATAATGCATTTTGGCTTTTGTAAGAAGTTGTTTCCCTTACCCTCTCTGTGTGTAAGTATGAGGGGTATGTGTGGGCCAGGGGACAAGCTAGAATGCTGTTCTTCAGAAGCTTGTTTTTTGAGACACGGTCTCTCTTTGGCCTAGAGTTTCCTGAGTAGGGTAAACTCACCGGCCAGTGAGCCTGACTCAGGGATCTTCCTGTCTCTACCACCTCAGTGGTGGGGTTACAAGTATGTGCCACCATGCCAGGCCTTTTATGTGGGTGCTAGGCATTGAACTTTGGTCCTCATGCTTGCACAGTACTGACTGAGCTGTCTCCCCAGGTTCCTCTTTTATCTCTAAGTAGCCAGGGAACACTGTGGGTTTAATGATAGATTTGGAGAAGGAAGGAAGGAAAGATTCTCTTGCTGTGTCAATCGCTAAGTGTCATGTACTCACAGTACTCCCTTAAAACTACACCACATACTTTCAGTTAGGAGAAGGAATGAAACTCAGCATACTGTCCAGTCTTCCATCACCAGAATGCAGAGATTAGTATTTCACATACACATACTGGAATATATGTCAGAAAGTAGCTTACCCTCCTCCATCGCTGAAGATACTGAGAATCACAATCTCTACAGTGGTTTCGAGGGATGTTCTTGATCCAGTTCAATGTTAGTTCCAGTTACTGATATCTCTGTTATGAACTCATTTATTAACATTTTAACTTCTTGAGCAAACAAAGGACTACATATTGTAAATAAAAGGGCTTTTCCTAGGACTCCGCACCCCTGGCCCCTCCTGGTACCTTGTGTTCAGGAAGATATTGGCACTTGTGGTTAAACAGAGTACCATTTCCAAAGCAGTTTCCTCATGGGACCCTAAAGTAAGTTCATGTGCTAATCTGAATAGAGCTGTAGGAAGGAAATAAAGAGGAAAGAATGGGGAAGACATTTTTAATTTACATGAACTTCATTTACTTACCTGTTTCCACTCATACCTGTTGGGTATTCTTAATGTATGAAGGTCTTAAATTGATATTCAAATGCAGAGTATTAATTTTACAGATAAAGTGTGGTAAGTAAAGTGCACTTACATGGCTGATAGTTTTAAGCTTTAAAACATAACTTTTTATTGTTATATGCTTAAAATATGCACATTTATAAAAAATGGCAAATAGAAAGTACCAAGTGTTCAGCTTTGGCAATTATCACACAAGGCTGGTCTTGTTGTACCTCTACCCATTTGTGACTACTTTTCAACAACTTTTGGACATTTACATTTTTATTAATTGTTCAGTATGTGTCTCTAGAAAGTTAAGACCTTTAAAACATTATTTTAGTAGTACACTTTAACAGTAATTCTTTACCATTATCAGGTATGCAGTCAGAGTTCAAATTTTGCTAGTTATAACTTTCAGAATTAATATGAAAATAAAGTCCAGGTGTAACAATTAACAGGCTTATGTCTTTAACTTTAACCTGAATGTTCCCCTAGCCCAACTCTCTCTCCAGCTGTTTTTCTCACTGTCTTTTTTTCAGTTCAAATTCTGCTGCTTCTATATCCTAGCTGGTATCTAACATCTTTGTCCACCCCTTTATTGCCTGTAAGTGTCAGATTACATCCCAAGCCTTGGCTGGAATTTGGGTTCAATAGTTTATCAGCATAATTCATTTATGGTATCACTTATTTATATCAGGAGGTATATAAGAGATTGCCTAGATCACTGATTCCTTAAGACCAAATGAATGTATTCAAGCTCCATTATTCGTTCATCGTTTATTATAAGAATTAATTCCATGTAGAAAAACCACTCTGTCTTGTTTATCATTCTAAAATAGGGTTTATATCATAGGAAAATTATGATTTGTTTGAATTTTTCCCTTTTTTTCCAGTTTCTTGATAATTTGTCTCCCCAATGTCTTTGAGGGTGACTGGTGATGTTATGTCTTTTGAATATTATTTTTGTTAAAATACTTGGCCTTATTGATGTTTAACTTGACCACCTTTGGTCAGTATCTCTTCAAATTGATATGCTAGTTTTTTAAATCATGTGTGGCTTTCTTGCTCTTTGCAATAACATATTCATATTTCAGCGGATTAGAAATCCATATCTCTAAGGAGCTCTGGTTACTCAATTTGAGCATGCTGTGTAAGTATGCTAAGGCTAATGTGCTCAGTGACCAAAAATGCTATAGATGTCTTCTGACTGCACAGTAATGGATTATCTAGACTTGTCTCACATTATATTCATGAAGGTTTCATGCACAAATTTTAAGATAGTCTCTATATTTTATTCTATTAAAACTTACTTATTTTATGTGTTTGAGTATTTTGCCTGCATGTATGTAAGTGCATCTGTGTCATGTAATGCCCCTGGGAACTGAACCTATGTCCTTTGGAAAAGCAGTCTGTGCTATTATCCACTGAGTCATCTCTCCAGCCCTCACATTCTGAACTTTGAAGCATAAACTATCTTGGGAGAAACTTCTAATCATGTTTTCCCACATTAGGATCCTCAAATACACTTAAAATTCTATATACTATGCTTTTTAGTCCATAGGTTATCTATCATCTATCTATCTATCTATCTATCTATCTATCTATCTATCTATCTATCTATCATCTATCCACCTACCTATCATCTATCATCTACCTACCTACCTACCTGCCTACCTACCTACCTACCTATAGATCCATGTATCATTGATTTTTCTAGCTATTTTCTACCTATCTTTATCATCATGATCATCATCATGATCATCATCATCTACTTACCTACCTGTCATATGTCCACATATCTCATGTGTATATCCATCGACCCATCCATCTATGGAAGTTGCTTGTTGAATAGTTAGTTTGCAGTTCTCTTTACTATATGGTGACAGGGCTAGAAATAGAAACATTTCTGCATCTAAAAGTTACATATATTAGAACCACTTGCCTTATGTTCTTAAGCATTTTATTAACACTTTCATTGTACTGTGTTTGAATAAAGCAGATATGAGCAATCCATGTTGCTATTGGAATTGCATAGTGAACCATAACTGGACAAATAACTATTATGTTCTTAAATATCATTATTGCCAGATAATCCTTGCTAGCTGTGTCAGGTTTTTTTTTTTTTTTTTTTTAGCAAGCCACATCTTTGTACCAGAAGGAAACAAAGTCTAGAACCATGAGGTTACTTGTCTATTAAAAGGACATTCCTCTTTCCTTCTTCTCACTGCAGTGTCTTTCCTTGCCCCTTTGACTAATAATACAATAATTTTGTACATGAATACATTCCTTGTCACTCTGTCTTATTAAATCAATTGTTCTCTTAACAGCTTGGAGAAACACATGTTGTCACATACTGAGGAGCGGGAGTACAAGTGTGATCAGTGTCCCAAGGCATTTAACTGGAAGTCCAATTTAATTCGCCACCAGATGTCACATGACAGTGGAAAGCACTATGAATGTGAAAATTGTGCCAAGGTACAGTGAATTTGTAGGCTGCTTGCCTCTCTCTGTCATCCTCCTCACTCTTAATCCATCACCTGCTATTACATTTAAAAACAAGCCTTAAGAAAGGAAACCATAAATATCATAAGAAAAGTATGCTAAAAGGCATTAGGAGAGTGTATAAAAACACTTGGTGGGTACACTTTTATTTTTATAAGGGAGGATGTGAGGCTTAATGGTGAGTTCCAGAACTAGGTGTGAGACATCCTTGGTAAATTCCTGATTCTGCTAAGTGGTCAGTGTGGGGTATTTCATAGCCTTGCAGGGACTGAAAGTTGTATCCAATGTGCATTACTTATTTCTTTTAATAACAATTTGTGAGGAGAATCACATGAAGTTTCTGAAGGCTTACTCAGAAAGAATGGAAGACTCCAACATTTGCAGATTTTTCCGCCTTCGTCCTCTCTATAAATCATGACTTGGTTCTCATTGAAAAGCACAGGGCCTCTGTCTTAGTGGCCAATTCTGAACAGCACATGGCCAAGATGAAAGCAATCCACTTGGACCACAGCTGTGAGCTATAGCAACGGTCATTCACAACTTTGGGTTTCCATGTTTTATGATGAACCCAGCGATGTCCCTATATCATTTAAGGTGCTTTCTGTTTCCAAAAACTTTTCATAGCATTTGAAGAGCTTGCTTAATGCTGGTGGAAATCGTGACATCTTAAATTGCCTTTCAGGATATTTTTTCCTGGATATGTTACTGTTTTTTTTTTTCATTTTTCTTAGTACAGTGTCCAAATGAATAGTTTTAGATGGCTGGCGATAAGCAGAAGGGAAAAAAACTGTTAGGATTTAACCCCTTAGGGAAATTCTTTAAGTGAATTTGGGGTGCTTCAGAAAAAATCTTGCAAATAGTGTTTACAATGTGTTTTTATTTAAAGGGTGGAAATAGTGCATCATTTTTAATGATGGCCTGGCCAGCTCTAGTTACTACCAAGGCCTTGACTATGGCCCAATCCTGTCGTTCATTATGTGGGCTTGTAACTGACACTAGTGGCTACCCTAAGATAAATCTAGAGACCTGAATAATTCACAATTCCCTCTGTAGACAAGATTTTTACACTTTTGGTTTTAGGGAAAAACAAAAGTGAGAGAAAGAACCAAAATCGCTCCTTGAGCCATGCCTGGCTATCTTTCTTGTATCTGTGAGTTAAGTTTCTGGATTAATCAGTACTCATTTCCTAGCAGGTTTTCACGGACCCTAGCAACCTTCAGCGGCACATTCGGTCTCAGCATGTTGGTGCCCGGGCCCATGCTTGCCCGGAGTGTGGTAAAACATTTGCCACTTCATCAGGCCTCAAACAACACAAGCACATCCACAGCAGTGTGAAGCCCTTTATCTGTAAGTTTTTAACACTCCAGCCCCTTTTCCTGCATCTGTCTCTCCTCCCAAAGACTCTGTGCTCAGGAGCATGGCCATACACAGCCACTGTGGGTGGGAGGAGGGTGCCCTTGTGGCTATTTATGGTCCAATCCAGTAGGGTTAGTTTCTGTTACAAGAAAATCTTTTATAACCAGATCCATGGTGTTTTGTCTATAATCCCTGGGGTGTTTTCTTTTAGATGAAATCAATAACAGGTAAAGAAAAGTCATTAAATAATGAAAGAGACGTCTCTTCAGGTTATAGGATTTAATTGAGACAACCAGATTTGTCTCACACTGTAAATGTTCGTAGCTTTGTAAAACAACAAATAGCAGATATCAATAAAAAGGTGATGTCATTAAAACCTGCTCTGGATCACAAAGAGCTGGAAGAGCTCCACCTGGCAAGTAGGCTTATAATGCTGTGTATGGGTTGGGGGTATGTGTAGAGACAGGGATAAAATGTTCTTTAATCTCCCCTTGCTTGCCACTTCCACTGTAGATTGGTGGTTCTGGGCCATTTGAAAAGCAGAGCATTTTCACTTTGATGCAGGCCAGGCTGCTCCTATTACTGCGCTAAAGCAAATTTCCAAGCAGTGTGCTTTCAGGGATGTCCACTGACCTCCTACTTGGCATACCCCTGGACAGAGCACTTTAGCAACACATTTCAAGTAAAAGAAAGCTCAGTTCTTGGTTGTTTTTTTTTTTTTTTTTTTTTTTTTTTTTTTTTTTCTTTTTTTTAAATTTTTTTTTTTTTTAAATTTTTTTTTTTTTTTTTTTTTTTATAGCTTCTTGTTCAAAGCAGGAAACATAGAGAGCACATCGGACTGAACATGTGATTATTTTTCTCTTGATAATGAAGAGTGGCTAATTTTTAGATATCTCTCTGCTGTCCACTTAATCAATTCCACCACTAGAAAAGCCTTACTTTTTATTTCCTTGCCTGTTCTTTGGGTTGTGCTGAAGTAATTCAGAAGGCAAATTATTTGTTCATGGTCCATCTGGACAGCAACTCTGGGCATCTTTTGTTCTCTTGCTCTGCCAGGTATGTAAATACAGAGATGCATTGAGTGTGCTACAAACTTATACACTGATTTTGGATCCAGATATGGGTAGAACTGTTTGAAGCCAACTCAGCACCTGGCAAGATCTCTGAGTTGGGAACGTGAAAACCAGTTTTCCTGACAAGTAGTGATGGTTGTAGTAGATATCTGAAGCACCAGGACAGGACCTGCTGGCAAAACACTCAATTTTCAGTGCCAATATGGAGATGTCAGAAACGAAGTGTCCCACCCCTGGCATTGACACAGCCTTGTCTCTGTGCTTCCAAGTACCAAGAGTGCTTGGCCGTCCTTTGCCAGCGTTTGGCAGAGTCCTGCTTTGCTCAGATGTTCTGTCCCCTGGGTGGAATGAAAAGGACTAGCAGAGAAACAAAGGGTGCTCCAGTCTCCCCTGGGGTAGCTCTGTTGAAATCATGGGAAATAAAGTGTACAATAGAAATTTTAGATTTTTTTTTGCCTTAAAAAAGTATTCGTGACTCTTGGCCATAATGCCCTGTAGGCATGCTTGGAATGCTACTGTACATGATAATAGTTCATTTATTTCTGGCAAGTTTACTGATGTTTTGGTGAGAAGAAGAGTGGAATAAATCACAAGAAACTCTGATCACCCATTTAATGTTCCATTTTTTTAAAAAACAAAGGGCAGAAATTATAAACTCCCATCATCATACACTGGGGGATTCTGCAGTGTGACCTGTTGTTGAAGTCAAGTGTTTTACTCGAAAGCATCTTAGATTGTCCTTTACCATTTGGACTGCATCACATATTTCCCATGAATGCCTTTTCAGCAATTATTGGTAAATTCAAATAGCAGATGGCATTCTTCAAATATCAAATCTGACATTGAACCATGGAGTAATTATGAATAATAGCCATGTAATTTCAGAACAAAAGAGTTTAAGGATCAGGAGTTGGTGTGAGATTGGAATGGTGGAAGTTCACCTAGGGCTGGTATCTGTTTCTCCCCAGAAGGCCACACACCACGATTCACCCCCACTGGTGTGTTTATGGCAACTGTCTCTTATTACAGTGTGCCGCCAAGCTTGAGCCCAGAGTCCCCCGTGCTAAGGTAATTACTCACCGCCTTTACAGCAACCCCCAGCCTTCCCAAATGGAAACCACATGCTCTAATAGACTGAATATATTCAAAATACCTCTTAATTTGTTTAATAAGTAGAAAGATGCAATGTTAACTGCTGCCTAATTCCTTGTTACTGAGAAAATTACAGTAGAGTACAGACTTCAACATCAATTGAATCAGTTGACCTGCAGGGCCTGGTTGTTATGATATCTCAAGCTAAGCCTTCAAGTGTGGAAAACAAAGCCCCTGCCTAAGGAAACAACCCAGATTCTATGTTCTTGAGATCAGACGCAGATTTGGCTCATCATGTAACAGAAGGCCCAGTCAGACAAGTCAAGTACAACTTTTCTTACTCCAACACAGACACCCTGGATTTTCTTAAAGCTAACCTGTTCTATGAAAGAGTAGGAAGCAACATTTTATTTCAAAAAGTTGAAAGCCTTCCAGACATTTGCACCCTTGTTGAATACCCACCAAGACATTTTCTTAATGCATTTTAATGCCCAAACAAGAGATTAAAAAAAAGTTTATCTTATAATTCTAATGATATATTGAGAATTTCTTGGAATCATTCATAACTGAATCAGTAAAATACTATGTGGTGAAAGTTTGATGTGCTTCCGTTTGCCATGTGATTTTTATTTGGTGTCTCAAATAATATAAAAATGTGTGTATTTATGGAGTCTGTTTAAATACCTTTAAAGCAGAAAGGTCAGTGTACCCTGCTAGAATCATCTGAAAAGAAATCACATACACTTTCTCTTCCCATTAATACACATTCTGGTCTCTACAATGTTAATAAGGATTTAAAAAAAAATTATCAACAAGCACACTGTAGATCAATGCAGTTTAGTCTTTATCAGGAGAAGAAATAGAAATGTAATAACTCAATACTTCCTGTTTGTGTGTGAGGGGGTGGGAGGACAAAATTCTGAGTGAGTTTGGTTGACTGACCTCTATAAAATCTTCTTTGCATAAGTTTTTTAAAGAATACATTATCATTATTTTGGCTCAGGTGCTCAATTTTTCTGCAGCTGCATGTAACCATCATTTGAAAGTTGCATTTTGTCTTCATTTTCTGAAAAGGAATCTGTTTCCACAGTTACCAGCAAAGTATATCATATTTCCACATGCATTAAGCATGCACAGAAGCATTAAAGTAAGCTCACACATAAAGCAACTCATCTCCAGAAAAGTCAAATGAAAAAATATGATGCTGAGGAAATTGATATTATAATCCTGTGAGGCTGAAAAATGAATAGGAGTCTCACTTAAAAGGGTAGTTCTTAAGGGTTATGACATTTGGTCTTAAAATATGCTTAGATATGTTGGCACATTGGTGAGGTAGAGACATGATCCCCTATTGCCAAATTCTTGGTGAAGAGGGACAGTAATCGAGCACACTCGCTGCTGAATTCTTTCTGCATCAAGGTTTTCGCAGTGCTCTCTGGTACTTGGTTATAGCACACAGAAGTCAAGGCCCGAGATAACTGAGGAAGATTGGACAACAAGTGGACATGTTTCCCAAGGATGGGGGTTTCATAAATGCAGGAAGGTTAGCACAACCGCTGGTGTGAGGGGAAGTCAGAGGACGTGCTCATAGTTCATGGGAACCAGCAATGCAGGATGGAGTACATTCAATTGAGTTTCCTTTGCAGGCTTAAAATAGAGCCATTGTAAATTATGTCAGTCTTTCTCAAATCATGAAAATGATTGTTAAAAAAAAGTCTCAGAATACACAATGTGCATTGTTGTGTGGCTTTGAAGTGTGAGTGATGAGAGTGTATGATATAATACTAATAAAATAAGGGGCAAGCAGCCACAAGCCTGTTCCCCATGGGGAGAGGCAATAAAGGTGAAGTTTGAGGACGAGGGCAAGGCTGTTTCTCTCTGTTTTGCTGCCTACAATAGAGAATTCTTTAAGTGCTCTGCAATTTTCATGCTTAATATATCTTGAGATTTAATTTTTCAGATTCCACTAGTGTTAGCAATTGGGTGGGGAAGCAATGCATTCTGGACTGTGACTTTTCCATAAATATTTAAATACACAAATACTATGCAAATTATTGTGCGACGGGGATGGAAAAACTATTTATATATAATGTGAAATATTTGTGCTGTTTCAAGACATTTGTCAGGGTAGCTGCCTTGCTTTGGAACCCAGCGAGACGGAGTTTTCTGTGTTCGGAGCATCCGATTGGTGACTCCCAACTTCTATTCCTGGCTTCCTAATTGAAACTATTCTGGGTAAACCAATTGTGATACTTGCTAAATTCAGAAGCAATTACCATAAAGCCTGAGATTCTTTTTTTGTTGTTTGCACACAGGTGAGGTCTGCCATAAATCCTATACTCAGTTTTCAAACCTTTGTCGTCATAAGCGCATGCATGCTGATTGCAGAACCCAAATCAAGTGCAAAGACTGTGGACAAATGTTCAGCACTACGTCTTCCTTAAATAAACACAGGAGGTTTTGTGAGGGCAAGAACCATTTTGCGGCAGGTGGATTTTTTGGCCAAGGCATTTCACTTCCTGGAACCCCAGCTATGGATAAAACGTCCATGGTTAATATGAATCATGCCAACCCGGGCCTTGCTGACTATTTTGGCACCAATAGGCATCCTGCTGGTCTTACCTTTCCAACAGCTCCTGGATTTTCTTTTAGCTTCCCTGGTCTGTTTCCTTCGGGCTTGTACCACAGGCCTCCTTTGATACCTGCTAGTTCTCCTGTTAAAGGACTATCAAGTACTGAACAGTCAAACAAAAGTCAAAGTCCCCTCTTGACACATCCTCAGATACTGCCAGCTACACAAGATATTTTGAAGGCACTATCTAAACACCCACCTGTAGGGGACAATAAGCCAGTGGAACTGCTGCCCGAGAGGTCCTCTGAAGAGAGGGCCCTTGAGAAAATCAGTGACCAGTCAGAGAGTAGTGACCTTGACGATGTCAGTACACCAAGTGGCAGTGATTTGGAAACAACCTCGGGCTCTGACCTGGAAAGTGACCTTGAAAGTGATAAAGAGAAATGTAAAGAAAATGGTAAAATGTTCAAAGACAAAGTAAGCCCTCTGCAGAATCTGGCTTCAATAAATAATAAGAAAGAATACAGCAATCATTCCATTTTCTCACCATCTTTAGAGGAGCAGACTGCGGTGTCGGGAGCTGTGAATGATTCTATAAAAGCTATTGCTTCTATTGCTGAAAAATACTTTGGTTCCACAGGACTGGTGGGGCTGCAAGACAAAAAAGTTGGAGCTTTACCTTACCCTTCCATGTTTCCCCTCCCATTTTTTCCAGCATTCTCTCAATCAATGTACCCATTTCCTGATAGAGACTTGAGATCGTTACCTTTGAAAATGGAACCCCAATCACCAAGTGAAGTTAAGAAACTGCAGAAGGGAAGCTCTGAGTCCCCCTTTGACCTCACCACTAAGCGAAAGGATGAGAAGCCCCTGACTCCAGTCCCCTCGAAGCCTCCAGCAACACCTGCCACAAGCCAGGACCAGCCCTTGGATCTAAGCATGGGTAGTCGAAGTAGAGCCAGTGGGACAAAGCTGACCGAGCCGCGGAAGAACCATGTCTTTGGGGAAAAGAAAGGAAGCAATATGGAGGGCAGAGTGGCTTCGGATGGGTCTTTGCAGCATGCCAGACCCACGCCCTTTTTCATGGATCCCATTTACAGGTGAGGATGGACGGGAGAGGCTGATGAAGTGTGCACCATGGCATCGTGCCATCTTAACAGATAACTTTTATTATTACAAAACAAAGGATAAAGTTGTTTGAGCTCATGAATTTATTATTATTTTTGTATTAAGAAGTTGACAGGGTAGGTTTGGGCTCTGAAGTTGGGGTTTTGGAACAGGCTCACAGAATTTTTTTCTCTTGACAATACACTTATTTTTAAACATGTTTTTTTGGAGTGGAAAATGGGAAAGTTATATTTAAAGCTAGTTGTCGAGTGGCAGAAGAATGAAGCTTTTGAGGATTAGCATAGATATGCACATAAACGGCCCAGGTTATTTAGAATAGCTTTGGACCTAAACAGCCAGACTCTATTTTCTCTTTTAACGCACCAACACATCCTGAATATACACTACTTGATTCTGTTTCTAAGTAAATCTCTTAGAAACCCTGAGTTAGCGAAATGTGAATGACAAAAATACTTTTATATAAAATATAGGTAGATTGTTTAAAAGACATCCCTAACGCACTCATCACCCACTTTCCTTTAGTGTATGTAAAAATGCAGTAGGTAAAGCGAGGGTGCTTAATAAAACGCTCTCATAGCAGTTATCACTCACCATTCAAAATGATTTAGTTTTTAAATGCTAATTTTAAAAAAGGGTATGAATAGCAACAGTTATATTTTCACATCTTTTTACATATTGCAAGGCTTTGCAATTTACTTTCTCATTCAAATTTCGAACCCTGTCAAGACTTTGAAACACGTAGAATTTTTTATTTGAACTTACTTAAGATAGGACTATTTTCCTATTTTGTCCAGTGCTTTTTAGTGAAGAGATTTGGTGCTATTCTTTTGTTCAGTAATACTGATGAGCATCATATGATGTGAAAGATACTGGAGGTGCAAATTCTTGTCACTCAACATCTTATACCTGTACTGTCTACAATGTATTAAGAAAGATTGTCAATATGTAAAAGGTTCCCCCATTTCAATAAGAGAAATAGAACACAATACAAGGTACATGGTATCTCAGGCTTGTACTCCTTGCCCTCAGAAAGCTGAGGCAGGAGTATCACAAGTCTGAGACCAACCTGGGCTAAATAAAAAGACTATAGCTGGGGGAAAAAGAGGAAAAACACAAAAATCTATCAGTGGTATAAATCCCATATTTTGGCACTTAAAGATATCCATTGTATCCTGTCCAGCTTCTAAATGTCTGTCTTCTTCATCTCCTCTGCTGTTTGTTTCAAGGCCCTAGACTTTCATTTTATTAATCTTATGAAAGACCCAAACCCCAATATTAGTGTCAGACCTAGGATGAAATCTCAGTCTACTCAGGTCAAGCTTTTTCACCCTGAAATGGATTTACTATCTTCTACTTCCACAAAATAAAACATGTAAAAAGAGTACATAAAGTTTCCTGAATCACTAGATACTGTGTTTCAGTTACATTTTTGTTCTGTTTTTTTTTTTTCCAACAGGGTCCAATGTAGTTCAGATGGGCCTCTTTATTGTAGCTAAGGATGACTTTGACCTTCTGATCCATTCTTCCTGCACCTCCCATGTGCTTGGATTAGAAGAATGCATCCCACGTCCAGCTTTCAATTATATTTTCAGAATTTATTTACCTAAAAGTTTTTAAAAGAAAATTGCCAGTAGCTGGTACAAGAAATTAATTCATCTTACACCATTGCTATGTATGCCTACCTGAAAATACAGTGGGAAACATGTCTACAGCTCTACAGCTAACCCTTCCTCACCCCCTCCCTTCCATCTCCCCTGCTTATCTACCCAGAGAGAGAGAGAATACGTATTTATATACATAACACACACACCACACACACACACACACCACAACACACACACACACCGCCAAAGAAACCATACCATGTCAAATGCAGGCGTTGAGGCTGTCCTCCTGGTGCTAAAGGGAACTTCCAGGTTCTCTCACTAGATCTTTATTTTGGTCTGATTTTATGGGTTGCAAAACAATAATCTCTTCTCCCTGTAGAATCATGGGTGTTGGTTATAAGCAAGCACATCAGGGTTTGCATTTCAAGATACAAGATAAGGATGTGTGTGTGTGTGTGTGTGTGTGTGTGTGTGTGTGTGTGTGTGTGTTTGTGTGTGTGTGTGTGTGTGTGTGTGTGTGTGTGTG